TAAAGGGGTCCTGTTCCGACGGAGAGGTGTTGTCGTAATAAATGCTGTGATGGGCTGCATTAATGGTGATGTGCAGTGACAATAACTTTGCAGATCTTTGTCTGCTGATGTGGCTCGTCCTTCACCTGCCATGTGTCTGAATGTCATTGGCTCTTTATGCCATGTTAGATTCCAACTGTTCTGGACCTCACCGGCTGGGTTATGCATTGGGCTCCAAGTGATGGGCTTGGGTTGTTCATAGTGATTTATGGTCTTTATGGGCTTATACACGTCAGTAGTCCCCCATTCCCGAGTGCAGCTTTAGTCCAACGAAGGGAATACTAATCAAGAAGATTAGGGTGTTAGGGATTGGCGGGATGGAGGTCGACCGGTAGGGGGGACCGAGAGGGTGAACCGACCGGGAGGTGGTCCGATCGTGCAAGGTGATCGAGTGGAAGGGCCGACCATGAGGAGGGTCGACCGTGAAGGTTGACCGAGCGGGAGGGTCGAGTGGGAGGGTCGGCCACAAGGAGGGTCGACCACGAAGGTTGACCGAGCGGGAGGGTCGAGCACGAGGAGGGTTGAGTGGGAGGGTCGGCCACGAGGAGGGCCGACCGCGAAGGGTGAGGTGGAGGGGCGTGGGGCTCAAGAAGCGGCATGTCACGTGGTGATTTGAAGGGGAAAAGACAGGGTAAGGGGAGGAGACAGTGGATCGTGATCGTACACGTGGCAACATCTTGCGGGGGGGAAATTAGGCGTTGGATCAGAAATGAAACGATAGGTCATTATGGGTGTTGAAAAGACAGTTTTGGCGGATGATTTGAAAAGTTTTCAAGCTGGCGAAAATTAATTAGGATCCTTAGAATATGGGCAAACCGTGGGCTTTTGGCATTATTCGATTCACCTACTTGTTTACGAAAAATCAAAATATTCCAAGTGTAAATTCCTTTGTTGCTCACGATACACCTCTACAACACTTTTTCAATTTCCTTGCACCTGCATCCGAAACGATTCGCAGTCATACCATAGAAATGGCCCAAGAAGAAACTACGAATGTCAGGGTGGATCCACTTGGTGACGATGATGCAGTGGAGTTAGCGCAACAATATAGGATGGAGAGGGTGGGGGAGTCAGTGGTACGATCCCATGGTTCCACCATGATAGCAGCTCCAAAGCCAATCAGCCAGGCAGAACCAGATCACTGGCATACAAAGGCAGATAGATCAACGGTTACTGCAGCGGATTTGGAGGCTATTCGCGAAAAATACCAGGTACCTGCTGAAATAGAGTTATTGTTGTCGATGTCGACGGAGAGGCCATCCGACGCCAGGCCAAGGGAGTTTGCCCTTTATGAGGAAGCATTGAAGGGAGGACTGAGGCTGCCCCTGCCACAAGTAGTGGTAGATGTCCTGAATCTTTTGGAGGTAGCGCCGGGCCAACTAATGCCCAATGCGTGGAAGATCTTACTGGCCTGTGCAAGTGCGTGGCCGAAGGCGAACGAAGGGGCGGCCATGACAGTAGACGAGTTTTTCGCATGTTACAAGGCCTCAGGGCAGCAAGAGACTTGGGTCACTCTGTAGGCAGCAGCAGGGAAAGGGCTGGTGGCGGGACTGCCATCGTCGATCAAGGGGTGGAAACCACGGTGGTTCTATGTGTCTGCTAGTGGAGGGGTTGGAGTGCGCACCATTTGAAAAGTGCCCACCAAGTTTGTGGAGCCAAAGCTAGGAGCAGCAGCAGCAGAGGAGAGGGTGAAGAGGGTAAAGGAATGGAGGGAGAAAGAAGGGGCCAGATGGGACGAGCTCGTTCAGCCGTCGGCTTCGTTTGAGGCAGGGTTGGGTCCACAGTCGAGCGGTGGGGATCTCGACCGAGTGGAGTTGGAGGCAAGGAGGAAGGCTCAAAAGGCAGAGGATCAGACCATCCTTGCCAAAGCCCAAAAATTCAAAGAGTCTCAGGCAGACCGACCGCCAAAGCCGGTTGCAAGGGAGAGGATCCGACCTCGCCCCAAACCCTTGGGAGAAAAAAACTTAGGTGAATTTGTGCCACGACCGCCCCCAATAGATCCTTTGAAGGAGAGGTCTTTGAAGGAGATGGAGGTGTTAGGCGTAGTGAAGAGGAAGAGGAGAGTGAGGAGGAGTGAAAAAGAGCCTGCCCAGAAGAGAAAGAGGGAAGTGATGGCAGAAGAGACCAGTATGGCGAAAGAGGCAGAGGGGGGAAGTGGAGGAGACCCCAGGAAGAGTAATTGCCCCAGAAGTGGTAGACATTGCCTCAGAGGGCATGGAAGTCATTCCAGTAGTGGCGGCGATCGCCGCAGGGGTCGCGAGGGTCGCCCCTGAAGTGCAAGTAGAAGATGGGGCAACTGGCCCTGAGCCAAGGAGGGGAGAACTGCCCCAGGGGGGTCCTGCACCCCGAGGAGGGGGAGTCAGTCTGACTACTGCGATCTACCACGCTCGTGCAGTGGCTGGGCGGCTGGAGGGAGAAGAGGGCCAGCCAGGGCAGGGGCGGAGCGCCTTGTGGGGATAGTAGAAGTGGCAACCTTGCGCTCAGCAGCCAGATTCAATGAGGCTGAACTGCTGAGGGGGTTATGCTCCGCTCAAATGGAGGTAACCACCTTAGCAGGGGCTCTGCTGAGGAAGGCGGGTGCTGCAAAACTCAAGGCAGATGAGGCCAAGACTCAGCTTGCAGAGTTGATCACACTTTGCAGCCCTTATCCGTTCGCTAAATGGGGGATCGACTTGGTCGGTCCACTTCCCACCGGCCGAGGCCAGACCAAGTTCGCGATTGTCGCCATTGATTACTTCACCAAGTGGGTAGAGGCAAAACCCCTTGCCACCATTACCGAGCAGAAACACAACCAAGTTCATCTGGCAGTCGATCGTTTGCAGGTTTGGCATCCCTCAGGCCATCGTCTTCGACAACGGAAAAAAATTTGACAATGCCAAGTACTGAAAGTTCTGTGCCGACCTCCAGATTCAACCATGTTTCTCTTCCCCCGGTCATCCCCAGGCCAATGGCCAAGTTGAGGTCACCAACCGTTCTCTCCTAAAGATCATCAAAACTAAGCTAGAAGCTGTTAAGGGACTTTGGGCTGAGGAACTACCGAATGTACTCTGGGCTTACCGAACTACAGCTCGGACTCCCACTGGGGAAACCCCTTTCCGCTTAACATACGGCGCTGAGGCAGTTATTCTAGTAGAAGTCGGTCTGCCTACTCCCAGAGTTTTACATCCGGATCCAGCACTAACCAAAGAGCTCCGTTGGGCAGACCTGGACCTAATTGAAGAACTCAGAGAGACAACCGCTGTCAGACTGGCCTCATACCAACAGAAAATGAGAACACACTACAACTGCAAAGTCCGACCAAGGGGGTCCGCTGTAGGGGACCTTGTCTTGAAAGAAGCAACTATTGCCACTAAAAATCCGACTGAGGGTAAACTGGCAGCCAAATGGGAGGGACCTTACGTTGTGAAAGCCCGACCACGTCCGGGCACCTACCGACTTCAGAACATGGAAGGTTGAGACCTCCCCCACCCCTAGAACGCTGAACACTTGAAGCGCTACTTTCAATAAGTCCCTACTGTTGTATTGCTCAGGTGTTGTATTTTTTTTTTTGATGCATAATATAAACTTTGATCGACTGGACTACACTGTCCAGTACAACAATTTTATATCTTAGCTATCTGTGTGTTGTCTCAATAACATTCTCATTTGCAGCACTTATTAACAGTCTCAGCCAGACTGAGCACTAAAAGCCTCAACCAGACTAAGCACCAGAAGCCTCGGCCAGTCCGACCGTCAAAAGCCTCGGCCAGTCCGATCGTCAAAAGCCTCAGCCAGACTGAGCACTAAAAGCCTCAGCCAGGCTGAGCACCAGAAGCCTCGGCCAATCCGACCGTCAAAAGCCTCAGCCAGACTGAGCACTAGAAGCCTCGGCCAGTTCGACCGTCCAAAGCCTCAGCCGGGCTGAGCATTAAAAGCCTCAGCCATACTGAGCACTAAAAGTCTCATCCAGACTAAGCATGAGGCACTCGGCCAGACCAAGCCTCAGCCAGCCTAAGCATAACATGTCTCAGCCAGATTGAGCGCCACAATTTCAGGTTCAGACTGAGTTACTTACAACATCAGTGAATCATAGCTTAGCCCCAACTGAGCACGCGTGCAGGGCTCGGTCAAGGCCATCCATGCAAACTTCGTGCTTGTGGAATTAGTAGACACACTCAGTCACAATTCCAGGTCCAAGTCTTTACACCATTCTTTGCTTAGTCAAATTCCAAAGACATTCTTACACGTTTTCTTTACAAGTCAGGTTATTTTCTTCTCAATCAAACTCTTACAAGTCAGCCTGTTTCCTTATAAGCCAAGCCTCACTCCAATAAACCACTAATCTACTTCAGCAGTGTGGCAAACACAAACTTATAATTTTATTATATTTTAAGTTTCATTCTGCATTGAGGAGTTGTTAACTTTACTCTGCATTGAGTTTTTATTACAAGTTCAATTTCACCCTACATTGAGGAGTTCCTAACTTTACCCTGCATCGAGTTTTTATTACAACTTCAATTTCACTCTACACTGAGGAGTTCTTAAATTTAGTTCTTATTACAAGTTTAACTCCACTTTGCATTATGCACACGTCTCTCCCACGCCTCATTCATTTCAGTTACACAAGCACAGTCAATCAAATGAAAACATAATTGCAATTTTATTTATTCAGAAATTTGTACATGAGTTTATTCATTACAGCCATTCAAAACAAAAAACAAAACAAAACAACAAACAAAACAAACACAAACACACAAGGTCTGTGCAAGGCTTTCTTCTTCCTCTTCAAACTACTCCTCTTCACTGGACACAAGGTCTTCTTGCTCAATACCCTCATCCAGGGGGGTTTGGGCCACATCGTCTTCACCAATTGTTACACTACTGAGGTCTAAGTCTGGGAACAGTTCTTCAGCTCTACGTTTGAACATCTTCCAGCCACTGTCTCAGAACTCAGCCATTTCGTGCTTATAAAAGTCTGACCGCTAGAAGCTCTCAATCACTTCTGCCTCAGTCTTTCCTCCAGCAGTCGTCCTCGACGGACTCGCCCCCCCAGACTCCTCCCTCGCCAAGCTACTGGCGACCGCGGCATCCACTGCCATCTGAAATTCAACAGACCCCTTGAACTGGTCCACTGCTGCAACATACAGATCGGGGTAAGCCGCCCTTTTAGAGGCTGCCTTGGCCCTCTCCTCGTCCAGATCATTCTGCAGGGTCGCATTTTCAGAGGCCGCCTTAGCCCTCTCCTCCTCCAACTCCTTCTGAAGGCTCTCATTTTCAGCAGTTGCCTTGGCTTTCTCTGCCTCCCACTCCCTCTGAAGGCTCTCCTTTTCAGCAGCCGCCTTGGCTCTCTCTGCTTCCAACTCCTTCTGAAGGCTCTCCCTCTCCTCCACTGCCTTAGCACACTCGCCCTCCAGCTCCTTCTACAGACCGTCAATCTTCACGTCTGCCTCATCCTTCTGCCTCATCCTTCTGTCTGACCAGCTCTTCATTACTGCTCATCGCCTCTTCATGTCGTTCAACCGCGACCACGCAGGGTTTTTGGGCCTCATCCAACCTCTTCTACTCGCCAGCTAGTTGGAACTCGAGCGACACAACCTGGCGGCGTGTGTTCTCCAGCTCCACCTTGACCGCTTGCAGATCAGCGTGGGTATTCTCCTAACTTGCACTCTTCTTCTTTAACTTGTCCATATAAAATAGGTAAAGTTGGTATAATTTAAATGAGATTTGGGTTTATGTAGAACTCTATATGTAATTAAAAAAATACATGTTAACACGACTCTCTTAGAAAAAAATAAACTTTTATAATGTGTCATCTAAGTATGATTAAATACTACTTCTAACAATATATATATATATATATGATTAGATAAGTCAATAGGTTTTATAAGTTTATTCTTTAATTTACAAAAGCATGGTAAGGTGGTATCATCTGATTTGTTGACATCTTCAATTTGAGAACAAAAAGTGATGCAAAGTATGAAGTGATAATACTTGAACATTAACATAATTTTATGGAGAAATTGATAGAAATTTTCTATAACTACGTTTCTAGTATTATTCTATTTGCTTGTTTTTATTTTTTAAAAAATATATTTTAGAAAATTTTATTTTCTTATTTTTCATTTTTTTTGTTTTTATTGAATTTTTTTAATATTTTAAACAATTTTTTTACTTTTTAGACACACCTAACATAAATATATCTAAAAAGTAAAAAAATTGTAAAAAAAATCTTTCAAAAATTCACTAAATACCAAAAATACAAAAAAATATATATAAGAATTCAGTACATTTTTTTGTATTTTTATGTATTTATTAATTTTTTAAAATATTTTTTCACAATTTTTTTACTTTTTAAATACATCTAAGTAAGGTGCACCTAAGAAACTAAAAAAAATGTTTAAAATTTTAAAAATATTCACTAAAAATAAAAAAACAGGAAAATAAAAAAACTCAATTTTCAAAAAACTTAATCCAGAAAACTCAAACCAAACACACTATTAGCGTTTTATTTTATTATTCAACATATTTATTTTTAGTTTTTTGAAAATACTTTTCAGAAAATTCTATTTTCTTATTCTTCGTATTTTTTGTTTTTACTGAATTTTTTAAATATTTTAAGCAATTTTTTTAATTTTTAGACACACCTAACATCAATACACTTAAAAAGTATAATTTTTGTGAAAAAAATCTTTAAAAAATTCTTTAAATACAAAAAAGCACAAAAAAAAATATGAAAACCCAGTATATTTTTCATTTTTTATATTTATTAATTTTGCAAAATATATTTTTCACAAATATTTTATTTTTTAGATATATCTAAGTAAGGTGCATCTAAAAAAGTAAAAAAAGATGCTTAAAATTTTAAAAATATTCACTAAAAACAAAAAAATATGAAAAATAAAAAATTCAGTTTTCAAAAAACTGAATTCAGAAAACTAAAACCAAACACACTGATTATTTTTATATTTTTTAGGATTTTTAAGGTTAGGGGTATTTTGATAATTTTATATTTACTAACATGGATCGTATAGGTCGCCTATGGATCGTCTTATGTGTTAAGTTATTTAATTAGTCTTTGTTTTTATTTCTTATTTGGTCTTAAATTAATTTTAAAAATCAAAGATATTTTAATAGTTTCATTTTTTTTGACCTAATTGATTTGGGAAGTCTTCTAATCCTATATAAAGCCATGTAATACTTATAATTGATAGAGTTGATATTTTATAATAAATAAAAAATAAAAAATGATAACTTTGAAACTTCTTTGTAGATAGGTGTGATGCTTATGAAATCTAGATGCGATACCTAAATCTATCTTTTTATCTTCTTTCTTTTTCTTTTTTGTTTTAATTTACTGTTCACGAGTTACTATTCACAACCTTATTGCAGTGCTAAAATTCCATCTTTTCATACTTAAACTCTTGCCTATTTATTACCCCCAAACAAATCCACTTATCTCTTATATTCTTATTGCAATTGCTGTCATAGAATCTAATTAAAATCAATCCACACATACGCCTTCACACATCCAACACCTTTTTAAGTCAAGTCATCTCCATGAACTTCAGTGTATAATAAATGGATGATGTGAAATTATGAAACCAATGTAAACTCGGAAATGTTGGTAGAAAATTGTTGACAATGTCTTGTTAATAGTAGGATGTCTTCATTTTAGATGGATTCACGCTCCATCATGATAAATGTAGGACATGTTTAATACAGTTTATTGTATGATAAAAATTAATAATTAGAAAGTAAAAGTTAATAATAAGAAAATAAAAGTTAAAAACACTTTAACCCCAACTTTCAGAGAATGAGTTTATTTAAGTTATTTCTTCTTAATAAATCGTAAGCAAAAATTACACCAAACGGTCAAGCAAAAACTCTTAAAATAAAATGAGTTATAAACAGCACCCAAACAACTCGTGTGTCAAGTTATTTAATTAGTCTTTGTTTTTGTCTCTTATTTGGTCTTCAATTAGTTTTAGAAATTAAAGATATTTTAATAGTTTTTTTTTTTTTTTTGTTCTAATTGATTTAGGAAGTCTTCTAATTCTATATAAAGCCACGTAATGCTTATAATTGATAGAGTTAATATTTTATAATATATATATATATAAAATGAGAGTTTTGAAACTTCTTTATGAATAGGTGTGATGCCTATGGAATTTAGATGCAATATCTAGACCTATCTTCTTCTCTTCTTTTTTCTTCTTTTTTATTTTAGTTTACTGTTCACGAGTTACTATTCATAGCCTTATAACAGTGTTAAAATTCCATATTTTCATACTTAAACTCTTGTCTCTTATATTCTTATTGCAATTGCAGCCATAAAATCCAAATAAAATCAGCCCATACTTACGCGTTCACACATCCAACACCTTTTTAAGTTAAGCCATCTCCATAAACTTCAATGTATAATAAATGGATAATGTGAAATAATGAAACCAATGTAAACTTGGAAATGTTTGTAGAAAATTGTTGACAATGTCTTGTTGATAGTAGGATATCTTCATTTTAGATGGGTTTACACTCCATCATGATAAATGGAGGACATGTTTAGTACAGTTTATTATAAAATAAAAATTGATAATCAGAAAGTAAAAGTTAAAAACACTTTAGCCCCAACTTCTAAAAAATGAGTTTATTTAAGTTATTTCTTCTTAATAAACTGCAAGCAAAAATTACACCAAACAGTCAAGTACAAACTCTTAAAATAAAATGAGTTATAAACAACAGACAATCTGCCAAACAGCCCGTAGTTTGAGCACACTGCAGTACAATGTTATGGATTACTTTTCTATAATGTTGTTTTTTTCTTCTGTATGTAACATTAATAGTGCATCCATTGAACCCCACCCATAGGTGCTGATTTGAAGCCATGGAACAGGTAAGCGAATAAAACTTCCACAAACAAGTTGAAATTTCATCCTTGGAAGTAGGTTTGGTCGGGTCTGGCTGGCTGCTCATGTCTGGTTCAATGGGCCAGGGCCAGTATTGAATTGGATAGTTATGGCTAACGTCAAAGCTGAGTTAATAACTCACACGCCACAGTGGCATATTTTTGCTGAGGAGTACATCCTGATTAATTTCGGATATGCATAGCCTTCTCAACTTGTATACAATAAATAATTAGTTAATTTTTGAAAGTGATCGTTAGAAAATTAATCTTTCAACCATTGATCCATCACTTATATTTGAATGATGACTTTTATTAGAAAAGAAAAATCTATAAGACAAAAGGTGAACCCTACAACTGGACATCCATATTAAATACTAAAAACCTATGAAGTTTTCATTAAACCCACATCCCTGAATTCTTGTTAAATTTTCATTCAAACACATCTCAATCAATGAATGGTAGGCAACATAAAAAAAAAAAAAAAAACACACCCACAATAATTAAGGAGAGTTGAATGGATTGAATTTACTTGTTCTTGGATAGCAATTAGAGAGTCGAGTTGCCAAAATTGTATTGGAAAATGATGATTTTTCGGCAACTTTAATTCGAAATTAAAGTGGGATCCAACTGCCCGTTAAGGTAAGTTTGAGTGGTTTTGTATTCTCTCAAGTGAGAAGATTACAATATAAAAATGATGAGCCAAAACTATTGAGTTGTAAATGAGAATTGTCTCATAAAGTGAGCATCAATAAAAGTTAGGGTTAGGTCTAGGCTTGGACTTGGACTTGGACTTGGACTTGGACTTAGTTTTAGTCTTGGTTTGGACTGGCCTAGGCTTGTGGATGTGCATGTGTTGGACTTAGTCTTGAGCATGGCTATGTGCTATGCTGGACTAGACTGGACTGGACTGGGCTTGTCTTGTGCATATGTTTTAGACTGGGTGTGGATCAGGTTGTGACCCAATACCCGTATCCATTTTACGACCTATCTAGTTGGATTATTTAAATAGCATTATATATATATATATATATATAATTTTATTTATTTATTCAACCTTTGTACGTAACTCTCATCTTTTGATGATAGAGTTGATGATCATTATGCACATGAGAGTTTTGCACCTTTGTAACTTTAAACCTAAAGGCTAGAGTTGATGGCCATTGATGCTAAGTTTTATGGTAGCCTTCATGGTTAAGACCTCTTCCCTACAGGTATAAAAGGGGCATTTCCCCTCCAATTTAGGAGAAGAGTTTTTTAGAGAGATTTTTGATGGAAAAGTTGGAGATGATTTTTTACATTAAAGGAAAATTTCCTATCTTTTTTTGTCAGTCCCTTCTTTGGTTCTTGTTAGAGAGAGTGCAACCATTATCAAGTTCGTTGAAATTATTCAAAAGCTGCATTAGCTAGTTTAGACCATTATATCTTGGGAGATAGAAGTGGACATACTTTCAACTCCCACAATGAGGCGGCTAATCTATTTTAACACAGGTTTCAGTTTGCTTCGTTTTACTAGTTTTATTTTATTATAAATTTCTGTAAATTCCAACATGTTCTTGTTCTGAAATTCAAAGTAGTTGTTTAATATGAAGCTATTTATTTTGTTTGATTTGCATAATTTGTACAACAAATTGTAGAGCAACATCCTTAAGGAAGTTCCAAAGATGTATGTGGCCTATCAATTTTGCACATTGAACAGTCACATTAGCTAGTTCATATACACATGAAATAAAAAAAGAAATAAAAAAAATCAAACACAAAGAAAGATAAATATGAATAACATTTGTTGTTAGGCATAATGTCGAGCAGATAGTGAGCACAACATTCTGCACCACTTAACATTGCAAGCACTTCTTGTTTACCTAACGACAATCTTGGACTGTTTTCTTTCTACCGACAGCAAACACAATGGAGACAGCTTCAACCCTTTGCCTTTTTTAACCTACTCCAAAAAGAGAAATTTTGTAATTTTATCATGATCTGTTGTGATTTTGATTATCACTTATGGAAGATTTTTTTTTTTTTATCAACAATGCTAGGATACAAAGAAAATTATCAAATGTTTTAATAAATGTGTCACGTAAGCGTGGGTTGGTAAAGTGTGGGTTGGTAAAACTCTTGGCAAAATGTTGGGATCCTAACATTTTTCTTTTTTTATTATACTTTACATGGCATTGATCGAAAAGATTTTTAGTTATGTCTTAAATGAAGTTCGATTATAATCGACTATATTTTATTTTAGAAGATATTTGTGATGATCTAATAAAAAGATAACTACGTACACTTTTGTAAAGGATGTCAAATAGTGCTTAAGGATGTCAAATAGTGCTTTAGTTATGATTCAAAATAATGTAATTATGACATTTGTATTACCAATACCACAAATATCATATACACTCCAAATATATATATATATATATATATAGGCAGTGGCTTTGGTCTAGTTCGAGATCGGACTGGACCGTATTGTTGGGCCTGTGGGGGTCTACCACGGGTCCCGTTTTGATAATCTGAACCGTTCAATGTGTAGAACTCGTCGAGTACTATATGTCTATAAAAAATCACGTTGATCGGATATCGATAGCTATATGAACAAAACAGTTTTTTATCAACCGTTAATTGTTTCACCGTCCATTTTTTTTTATACAAAACTGATTTGATCACATATCTATTGATATCCGATCAACGTGATTTTTTACAGGCATATAGTACTCGACGAGCTCTACACATTGAATAGTTCGGATTATCAAAACGGACCCAAAAAATGAACCCCATGAACTGAACTGAACGGATCCAGTCTTGATCTCAACTTGAGACAAGCTGGACCCCCACACATATATATATATATATATATATATTGTAAAATAACCACTACCAAAAACGTCTTTTTAACTGATTATGATAAAAGAAATTATTTTCAATCTTTTATCTTTTAATAGTTGCATCAAACTTGAATGAAACATAATTATTTAAAAATTGATTAAAAAAAATTGATTCTTCTCTTATCTAATGAATTTTGTTATGATGCTTGATTTGATACACCTTTATCAAATAGATATTCAGATTGAAGATGCTTTATAAATTTAAAACTTTATCCTTTTTTTTTCTTACTAATTTAATTTTGACAAATACTAACAAAGGTGCCCTAGGCATTGTTTAATGTTGAAAAGTATGTAAAAAGTATCTTGAAAATATATAAAATTATTAAAAAGTACATTGATTTCAATAAAAATATATTAAAATTAATAAAAAAATGTATTGTGTTTTATAAATATTTTATCTTTTACTTGTGTCTGTGTCAGTAAGATCCTTTAATTTTTTTAATTTAACTTATTTGTGTATTTTTATAAATAAATAAAAAATGATTAATACACTAAATTTGAGTTAACTTGAATCCTGAATTACGTAAGCCACACAACCGTCCGAATGAGTTTTACATTACCATTGTCAATTGCAACTATCACTCTTCTCGATCAGCATTTCTCAAATGATCGACTAGACGGCAGACGTGCACAAATTGGGTAGATATTACTTTTATAATTAGTGAAAAATTAACTTAAAAGTTGGAAGTACCACTTCAACCAAGGTCAGGTCCCCTATTCTCCGTCTCTCTGATAATTAACAAGATAGGTCGATGAACTATCACCGGCTAGTTCGTCGATTTTCAACTCTGATTGATCCGCGAAATCAAAACCCTAACTCAACACAATTTACAATTTCTGGGAAATTCGAGAGGAGGAATCGGAATTCAATTCCAGTACCCCATAGAACAATACCTGAACCCCTAGGTCAAGATCTTGATTACGTGAATGTAGCTCACAGTCACCTTGTACACTCTGATTGGGTTAAGCTCGATCGATTATCCTCCTCTCTGACACCGTTGAGAGTGAAGCACATTCTGTTGAAGATCCAGAAAGACCATGTTCTTTCACTTGAATTCTTCAATTGGGTCGAAGCCCAAAACCCTAGTTTCCTCACCCTCGATTCCCATTCCATAATTCTCCATATTCTCACCAAGAATCGCAAATTCAAATCAGCCGAGTCAATTTTGAAGAAGATTCACCAATCGTGCTCGATTGATTTTCCTTCTAAGCTCTTTGAATCCATACTCAATTCTTACAGAGTCTGCGATTCTTCGCCTTGTGTTTTCGACTCGCTTTTCGAAACCCAAATCTGAAACAAGGATTCAATGCCACCGATGCTTATTGTCGTATGAAGGACTATGGGTTTGTCCCAAATGTTGAATCTTGCAATGCGTATTTGAGTTCGTTGATGAATTTGAATCGAGCTGATATCGCATTAGCATTTTATAAAGAAATGCAGAGATCAAGGATTTCGCCGAATGTTTATACTTTGAACATTTTCATTAGTGCTCTGTGTAAATTGGGGAAACTGGAAAAGGCTGTTGAGGTGTTTGGAGAGATGGAAAATATGGGTTGTGTTCCTACAGTTGCTTCTTATAATACATTGATTGCTGGACACTGTAACCAAGGCCTTCTGAGCACTGCTTTGAAGCTCAAGAATTTGATGGAGAAGAATGGGTTATGCCCAAATGATGTTACTTTCAACACACTCATTCATGGGTTCTGCAAGGAAGGGAAATTACACGAAGCGAACAAACTTTTTAGTGAGATGAAAGGGATTGATGCGTCTCCTAATACTGTAACTTACAATACATTGATAAATGGGTATAGCCAAGCTGGTAATGTTGAGATGGGTAGAAGGCTTTACGAGGAGATGTCGAGTAATGGGATTAAGAAGGATATCTTGACTTACAATGCATTGATTTCGGGACTATGCAAGGAAGGGAAGACAAAGAAAGCTGCTTATCTGGTTAAAGAACTCGATAGCAAGAAGTTAATCCCTAACTCTTCAACTTTTTCTGCCCTTATTAACGGGCAGTGCATGAGGGGGAACTCTGAACGTGCTTTTCAGCTGTATAAAAGCATGGTAAGGTGTGGTTGTCATCCGAATGAACATACTTTGAAGATGTTGATGTCCAGTTTCTGTCAGAATGAAGATTTTGACGGAGCAATGCAAGTCTTGCGAGAGATGTTAGAAAGATCAATGGCTCCTGATTCATCTAGGTTATCCGAGCTTTGCCATGGACTTCGCCAATGTGGAAAAGACAAATTGGTAATGGAGTTGTGTGAAAAGATGGAAGCTAGACCCCTTATGCCAGAAGGTTTGGAGAAAACACAAAGCATCATTGCTTGACCAAAAATTCTAGGCGAGGAAAATGGAGATTTCTTGTAAGAATTTATAGGCTTGTAATCGCTGTATTTTGGAATAAAAGTATTTTTTGGCCTAACATTGTGGAATAGAAGTGTTTTTTTGCCCAACATTTTGGTTTTTTTTGGCCCATTGGCTCGCCCACAAACTTGTTTTTTATGTTATTCACACGCAAAAAGAAATATTTTATTGACGGAGAACACAAATCACTGGCCAAAGTTCTTCTGGTTCGATTCCATCTGGGAGTTTCCAGTTAGTGGCATAGTACACTTCAGCAAGAAGTTTAACCCTTGCCATTCCATTGACAAGCCAGGACATGTATATCTATGAGCCCAAACAGAATAAATGTGACGTCCGTCCAGTTGAATTTGATGGACTAACATGGAAGCTCACTTCACTGGTTCAAAGCACTCGGCATAATGTGCTGGATCTCTCCCTATTGCTCACCTATTAATGGCAACATAATGATCTCCTATTTTTAGTTAGATTGGTCAAGATATACCGCAATGATCATCTTGCTAAACTTGACCCGTTGTCCCGGGGCTGAGGAAATGGATTCACTGAGTGCCTCCTCTTCTCTTAGCTGAATGCTTGGGATTGAGATACTTCAAGGTTCCACAACAGACTGTTCATACAAATAGTGGTTTACTCAATAGCTTCCATAGATATCTAATCAAAATACAGAACTGTTCTTCAAAATGTGGTTAACAGGGCAAATTGATAGTACAAAACATTATCCGATTTGGATAAACTTCCTATTCAGTAACTTATAAGAAGCCGTCTAGTAAAACAATAGCACGATCAAGTTTGAATTAACTAAAATTACTAAACACAATAATAATACAGGAATGTAACCCTCTCATGATTCCTCTTCGCAAGCTTCTGCGGCAGAAATCTCGGAATCCAATTTGTTCATCAGTTGCTCACTTACATGTTTAGTAACAGACACCATGTCAAGAATGACACTTGGATCGAGGCCAGCGCCCCCTCGTTTAGTCAGCCCACATATACGCCCTTGCCTATTTACGGAAACAGAGATAGCAGAGCTCATTTGGGATTCCTCTTCTGATGTTGCATCTACAATATAATGTCTACCCACCTACAAAACGGAAGCTCAAAATATAACAATAATGTGTATATATAGAGAGAGAAGAAGATTCCAGAGGAATTAAAAAATGCAAGTGTAAATGGATCACCTTTGTTAATGTAACTATGACGGGGACCCCCGACGTGTCAAATTGTAAAAATTCTTCATCGCTTATGTCAACCTCTGGCTGTCCATCAGAAGGGGCACTGGCAGCAACCTGGACTTTAGGGATCCCTGTATTGCTCAAAGCAGCCTAAGAGTAGAATAGCCATTAGCCAAAATCTATTTATACAGCCAAGGGGGTGGGGAAAAAACAAACAAATACAAAAATACCGAAGAAATTGGCAAAATAAATGGCCACAAACTGATAAAACAGAGAAACAAATTTATTCATCTTAGCTTCTACTCAAGCCAATCTCAATCCAAGCTCCATTAGATTGGCTTTCTATGTTGTTTAAGATACTCATTAACTTATTAAGCCAAGCACATTATGATCAATTTTTTCTATGTAAAAGCTCAGGTCATTCATTTCATGAATCAATCTCAACAAGCTTTGAATCAAGCAATTTGGTTTGCTTTACAACACAATTTGTCAATTCAACATTCCATCCAAGGTAACACATTCCTCTCCAACCATGTGTTCTATTTACATAATAAAAAAAGTGAGGTATGCAAATCAAATACCTTGATGGCAGCGCCTAATGCATCTAGAAGATTTCCATCCGAGCTAACCACGAGACCATCAATATACAGGTCCCAACAAATTTTTCCTTCCACAATTGAGAGAGATGAGAGATCAATTCCAGCTCCTAAGACAAAAATCATCAAGACCACTATGTTATCAACCTTAGTGAAGCAAAAAACCAGAGACAATTATATGCGACTTGCAGTTGTTTATGAAGCATGACACAGAAGCACTTTTGAGGCTACTCTTGCTTTTTAGATAGTTGTACCTGTTCCACTTTTACCACCTAAGAGACATCGCTGAAGAGCTGTTGAGAGTTCTGCTGACAACTCATCACCTCCCCTGCCCTGCACAGAATGAGATGAGACAAATATGACTAGTGACTAGCTTAAAAAAATTGTGAAAACCCTTGTAAAAAATATTACTCATCAGTTATAACACAGTCGCCAAGAAAAAAAAAGTCATGATATTTCTACTTGAACACATAATCAAAGAGAAGATGGAAGGAACAAGAAAGAAAGGGTTATTTATTGTCAGTAGCAGGTATTACTCATTATTTAGTTAAACTTTGACACAACCCTTAATTTATTTACTCATTATTACCAATTTCAGCAGCTTGAGGCTGGTCCAAAAAATACAAATTATTTTCAAAAACCTTAAAAATGTCTCCTTTTTGTATTTTAACTTTTTGCTTGGAGATGGGTGATGTTGAAGAATACACTGTCTACTCCATTCCTATAGGTTTTAAAAAGCGGCCGCAACCGTTACGTAACGCCGTTACGTAACGGTTTTGGAGGTTACCGCCACCCGTTACGGCCGCTTTTGCAGTGTGATTGAGATTCACAGGTGTGTCGGCCGTAGCAGCTGCAGGCCTTAAATCTTATTGACAAAATTGATTCTGAAGCATAATAATAATAATAATAATAATAATAATAGAACTTGAAAAACATAAATATATATATGTACTGCTAGAGAAAAAATGAAGAAATAGGATTTGTGTATACACTGAACCAATAAATCAAGAGCTGTTCAAAACATCAAGAGAGAGAGAGAAGAGGGAAGATGAAGAACATGTTATTGATTTGTTGAAACTGTAGGACCTATGCTATTCTATTCAGCTGCTATCACTAAACCATTTTGTTTGTGTGTGTCTATCTATATATTGTTTGAAAATAATAATAACAATAAATGTGGTCATTATCTATTTGGTTTAAAATATATATATATATATATTAAGGCTCTTATTTATTCTCTTACTTTTGTCATTATTTATCTTATATATAATAGTTAGTGATTGATTTTTTATATAATATAAAGTCATTAATTATTAAAATAAAATGTAAAAAACTCAGTTTATAGTGATTTAAAAATATGAAATATATTGCATCATACTTAAAAATTTACAAAAATTGATTGATCAATATTTATTTTTAACCCAATAAATATGATCATGGAAAAAAAAAATATGCGTATCGGTAAGTTTTTTTCAAATTGTGCGAAAAATAAAAAAATTCACGGTTCCGGTTACCGCAACCGTTACACTACGGCCTTTACACCCCGGAACCGCAACCGCGTCACCGCCACCGTTACGGCGACCGCAACCGCTTTTCAGAACTGTCAAGATATGTCAAGATACATATCTTGGCAGTAAGCTATGTCAAGCCACATAGACTCCAAAAAGTTTGTTGGTTATAAGCTCTCATTTAATATGGAGTTATAAAGGCTCACATTGTGCGATTCCCTCAAGTGTTGCATAAGTTTTCAATTGGACTTTTAGGGCTCCTATCTGCGTACAATTTTAATTACATAGGATCATACCCAAAGTTTTAAAAAGCGGCCGCAACCGTTACGTAACGCTGTTACGTGTGTTACGTAACGATTTTGGCGGTTACCACCACCCGTTACGGCCGCTTTTGCAGTGTGATTGAGATTCACAGGTGTGTCGGCCGTAACGACTGCCGTAACGGTCGTAATGGTGCCGTAATGACCTGTTACGCACCGTTACGTAACGGTTCCAAACAGTTTCTTTCAAAAAAAAAAAACTGAAAATGGAGGAAGAGGGATAGAGAGAAGAGGGAAGATAAAGAGAGAAAATGGAGGAGCAAGAGATAGAGAGAGAAAAGAGAGAAGATGAAAAACATGTTATTGATTTGTTGAAGCTGTAAAACCTATGCTATTCTATTCAGCTGCTATCACTAAACCATTTTGTTTGTGTGTGTCTATCTATATATTGTTTGAAAATAATAATAATAATAAGTGTGGTCATTATCCATTTGGCTTGGTTAAAATATATATGTATATATATATATATATATATTTAGGCTCTTATTTATTCTTTTACTTTTGTCATTATTTATCTTATATATAATAGTTAGTGATTGATTTTTTGTATAATATAAAGCCATTAATTATTAAAATAAAATGTAAAAAACTCCATTTATAGTGATTTAAAAATATCAAATATATTGGATCATACTTAAAAATTTATAAAAATTGATCAATATTTATTTTTAACCCAATAAATATGATCATGGAAAAAAAATATGCGTATCGGTAAGTTTTTTCAAATTGTGCGAAAAATAAAAAAATTCACGGTTCCGGTTACCGCAACCGTTACACTACGGCCTTTACACCCCACAACCGCAACCGCGTCACCGCCACCGCCACCGTTACGGCGACCGCAACCGCTTTTCAGAACCTTGATCATGCCCAACTAATATATCATGACGTCCCAATTACAAGCTAATTAGAAAGCAGCAGAATCAAGGTTAAACAAACCTCAAAAACTGGTGCTGCTGTGGGACTGCAATCAACATATATGGAAACCTTGCCTTTGTCAGGTTGAAATGGGCTCGGTTTTCCAAGTTCAGCCTGCATTTTAAATGAATTGTTAGGCCATATCTATATATAATTTTGCAGCATGAACCAAAGGAGTGGCCTACGCCATTGAAAAAGGCATGTACATTAATTTGTGACTGTTATAGAATATAAGCAACTCATGTAAAGAACATGAAATACCTTCACACTAGCAATAACATCTGTTGCACCCAACTTCACTCTTGCTGAACCATTGGCCTGTAGTCAAGCAATAATAAGGTACTATCACATATGAAAAATAAAAAACCAAACTGTTTTTGCCAACCACAAAAGCCCAAAAACACTAATGCAAAACAAATAGATGAATCAATTTCAGTGGGAACATGCTTGACCTGAGGGATAACTCCAGTTTCAATAGAAATAGGACGATAAGTTAGTCGTTTCCGACCATCAGAACGAAGGTCTTGAGCAATGCCACCCTGTATGAAATGTTGTTCACCGATAGATAGTCCCACCATTCCTTGCTATTGGCTAATGCATTAAGGGATAGTGATGAGAACCATTTATGTGATACATAGGAAGTGTTAAAAGTTGATAAAAGAAATTGAACGAGACATGACATAAATCAACTAAAAACTACACTTAATTTATGTAACAGGGAAGAGAGGGAATGGAAAATCAATGTGACAATAACAAATTAATGGCAATAAGAAAGGGGGAGGAAGGGGGGCGGCTATGCAATTGAAAATAGAAAAATTAAAAAAAAATCCACTAAGACCCTGACTTTGTGATTCACAGCAAGCCCAGTCCGTTAATTTTCAGCGCACAATGTATTTCAAACAGGCATTTCGTCAAACAAGTTATGCACATAGGTCCATCAAGTGAGTTCCTCCAGATAACAAAAGCATAAAATGGTTTTCTTTGAGACATTTTATCAAACAACATACGATAATAAACACATCGGTCCTGTACACACAAAAAAATTCCTGAAAATATTTACTCCCAAATTTTCGAAAACAACCCACTTTCTAGGAAATAATTTTCGAAAACTGGTTTTGCACAAAAATAAAAACGATACGAAACTATGGATATTTTTAAACTTCTCAAAGTTTTTGTTTCTGAAAACTCAAAAAAAAAAAACGAACATTACCAAACATGGCCCAAGTAAACAAAATTGAGCAGCATAGATGCAATTAGTGACTCCATGTATATATACATTGAGAGAGATATAAATGTAGTAAGTATGGTACCAAAATTGGATGTACGAAGCAAAATAGAAGAAGAATTTTGAAGAGAGAAGAGTAAAGCCCTAACCTTGCTATTGGCAGAGGTGGGTTGTTGTGCGGTGGTCAACGGCGGTGGTCGGAAGTGCAGCTTGCCGGCGACCACGAGCTTTTCTGAGGCAGGGGTTCGTCTTGCCAAGTCGGCACCGTTGAGGAGAGTGAAAACAATCCGGAGGACTAGGTTACTGCATTTTTTTTATCAAACATGCTGCATACCCCCAGTGGGCGTCGCGCCCCCAGTGACGTAGCGCGCCCACTGGCTGGAAACTTAAAAAAAAAGAAAAAAAAAAACAGTTTTTGTTTTTGGACCAATCCGGGGCCGATACCTCACTGGGGGTCGACCCCCAGTGGGGGTATGAAGCTTTTTTCTTTTTTTTATTTCTTTAAGCTTGTTTATTAATCTTTATATTTATTTTAAAATATATATATATTAAAAAAAACTTTCAACTACATGTATTTTAATTAGTTAATAAATTATTTTTATATTTTAATTCATCAAATTCTAATTTTTACATTTAAAATAATTTATGAACAATTTTATCTTTATAAATATTTTTTAAAGCTTTACCAATTTGGTATGCACTATTTTCAACTATTTTGAATATTTTATAATATGAACATTCATATTAAATAAATTTTACAATGTGAATGTTCACATTACGAAACATTTATAATGTCAATGTGAATATTAATACGAACTTTTCCCTATTATTATTAGAGATATTTTGATGATTATGTTACTCATAGATTTTAGGGTTTTTTTTTTAAGTTTCCTCGTATTAAGATTTTATGGCATAAAGGACATATAATATTTTCATAATGTCTAAGGTCCCTCAAATTAATCCAGAGAAAATTGATCCAGAGAAATTCTTCCCAGAAGTTCTCTGGACTTTCCAAATAAATTTTGAACATTTCTCCAGACAACGTAGCAATCCTTTCTTCAAAGAACCTTTGCTCTTGCTGGAAATCCAGAGAAAGTTGGAAACGAAGAGGTTTCCAGAGAAAGTTGGAAAAGAAGAGGTTGCACTCGTTGGGAAAAGAGACGGTGGAGGAGTGGTTAATGGAGGACAGAAAGCACAACCATTGAAGGAATGAAATTAAACATACACACATGGGAACAGATATACGTGAGTGTGAAATCTATGAAAATACACATAATATATATAAAATCATTGCGTGTGTATATATAATTTGCACGAAACTAATCAAGCACTCACTATGCATTGTAAAATTAGAAAAAAAAAAATTGAGGGAATGGGTAACATGAATAAGAAGGATAAGATGGCTAAAGAAATGGGTCGGCTAATAACTTTCCAAATTATTCAAAACTCTCAGAGAATTTCTCAGAGAAAATTCACAGAGAAAATGCCAAATTTTTCTGGACAACATTGAGGACTAGTTCAATCCAAACCAAAGTATTTCTCTGGATCAACCCAGAGAAATTTCAGTTCAAACCATAGAATTTCTTTGGACCAATCTAGAGAAATTTCAGTTTAAACCAGAGAATTTCTCTGGACCAACCCAGAGAAATTTCAGTTCAAACCAAAAAATTTCTCTTGACCAATCCAGAGAAATTCCAGTTTAAAGCAAAGAGAGAAGATCATTTCACACTAGCTTGTGCTAGTGTGAAAAAAAAAATAGTTTGTATTTATAGAAACTAATTAGTTTCTATAAATTAGTTTGTATTTTAATAAAATTAGTTTGTATTTTAATAAGATCATTTGATTGAGTGAATAAGCATGTGCTAGTGTGAAAAAAAAAAAATTAGTTTTCACACTAGCTTGTGCTAGTGTGAAAGATTAGTGGTAAAGAAAAAGAGTGAAATGAAATTTTCACACTAGCACAAGCTAGTGTGAAAATTAATTTTTTTTTTCACACTAGCACAAGCTTATTCACTCAATGAAATGATCTTATTAAAATACAAACTAATTT